ACGGGGGCGCCCCGCGGGCGCCCGCCCGGGCGCAGGGACCCACCGCTCACCTTACAGCCCTCGCACGTGATGACGCCGTAGTGGATCCCCGAGGACTTGTCCCCGCAGATTTTGCAGGGGATCACCTCGATTTGGGCTGCAGCAAGGAGAGGGGGACAAAACAGGGAAGCTCAGCGATGGTGGCTGCCGAAGGGGCTGAGGAGTAGGGTGAAAACCAGCCCCCAAACCCATTTTGGAGCGTAGAAGCAAAGGGATGCCTCGCGCTGGTGCTCCATCCCTGCTGAATCCCCTTGCAGGAGCGCTCCCCTCTTTCCTCCCCACAGCATGTGAATTTTGGGGTCTCTCCACAGGGGAACAGGACAGTGGGTGCCTCACAGCCCTCCCCGCATCCTACAAACCCTCCAGCAAGGAAAACGCCGGAGCCAAAGCGGGCAGAGCTGCGGCACCCCCGGATACCCAGAACCCGGCACCACGGGGCACCGCTATCCCGCACATCTCCTCCGCATCCATCTCCCCATGATGTCCTGGGGACCTTTCCTGGTCCTGCACCACGGATTGGGGCCTCTCCCCGCTCCAAGTTAAAAACGCCAGGAGCGACGCGGCTGCTCCAGAGGCTGAATCCCTTCCCCCCGCAAATCCGCGCTGCGGCTCCGGCCGCGCTGCGCCGCGAAGAGGCTTCGTCCTCCCTCGCCGCCCCCGGATCAAGGGCGGCTCTGCCCTCCTCCCGGCGCCCGCGGAGCCGCGGGGGGACGGGGCGGCCGCCCGGCTCCTCCGTGACGCCCGGCATCTCCGCGGCCCCTAATCCGGCCCCGCTGCCGCGCGCGGGGCGCCTCCGCGCTCTGCGCCCGCACCAAAATAAACCCCGCGGGCAGATTACGGATATTTAAGAACTGCTGGGCCCGGGCAAATCCCCGGCTCGGGTAATTCCCTTCTGCCTGGCGGCCGCGTCCTCACACAGACGGTGTTTGCAGGGGCGGCTGCGGCCCGGAGCAGGGAGTGTTTTGACTGCAGAAGGCCACTGTATTCCCCTTGTATTCCCATTCCCACTATATCCGCACTATATCCCCATTCCTCCCATATCCCCACAATTTTCCCCTTATATTCCCATTCCCACCATATCCCCTTTCCCACTATATCACCACTATATTCCCATATCCCCACTATATTCCCCTTACATTCCCATTCCTACTATACTCCCACTATATTCCCCTTATATCCCCATTCCCACCATATTCCCACCATATCCCCATTCCTACTATATCACCACTATGTTTCCATATCCCCACTATATTCCCCTTATGTCCCCATTCCTACTATATCCCTGCTATATTTCCGTTATATCCCCATTCCCACTATATTCCCACTATACTCTCACTATATCCCCATTCCCACTATATTCCCACTATATTCCCACTACATCCCCATTCCCACTATATGTCCACTATATTGCCCTTACATTCCCATTCCTACTATACTCCCACTATATTCCTACTATATCCCCATTCCCACCATATCCCCATTCCTACTATATCCCCATTATATTGCCCTTATATCCCCATTCCCACTATACTCCCACTATATCCCCATTCCCACTATAGCTAATGTCCCTGTATGGGCGGGCTCCGAGGGCCGCTCCAAGCA